CCGAGACTGGGACAACCTTCTTCCATTTGGCGAGGTTCTTGACATCCCACTTTCCAGAGGTGTTCATGTGTTGCAATTGCCAGCCCAGACCGAGACGCTTGTCGACATTTGACGAGAGGAAATCCTGGATAATTCCTGCAAGAGTGCGATAGGTCGCCCGGTCGTAGAGCAGTGCGTGAGATGCGGGCGCCGGCAAAATCGCTGATTTAACCACTCGCTTCCGCTGGGCACCGTCCAAATGCTTTTCGGAGACCTGCACACCAAACGCCTTCCCACTGACGAGATCGCCGACTGGAGGTGACATCTGGTCGTGGACTCGCGAAGCGTCTGGGATGATGCTGCTATCGCTAGTGTCAATTGCAATATGGGCTGAAGCATCGCCAAAGAATTTCAAAAGCTTCTGCACCTCCACCGGTTTGGTCACAGCATCCGTCTCTCCCGCGACCAATAGAACTGGCATGCGAATTCCCGCCCAGACCTGTTGACCAGGGAGCCCGCCAATCGGGTGGCCACCATTATCGTAGGTGGGAAGTGTACCCCACGCCATGCGTCGCCAAACAGGCGTCCGACTTTGCTTGTTGAAGCGCACCTGGAGATTTCGTGTTTCCGCGTCGGCAGCGATGCCGACCATCCGCATAACACTTGCACTTTGTTCGCCTCCACGTCTGTCCCAGCGGCGCCAAAGATCGAAAATTGGACCAGGAACATAAAGTAGTCGGCGAAATTTGGCAGTGTCTTCCGCAGATGGAGGCTCGGCTCGAGGGCACATAGCAACAAGGGCAATGATACGCTCTTTCACTTTTGCGCCAATGGGCGACGTTGATGAAGCCAAGAGGGCTGACAAGGAACACCCAAGACTGTGCCCCACTAGAATGACTTCCTGGCCAGACGCACGGTCCCTGTGCTGATCAATGGCTTCAGCTAACAGTTCAGCCAGAGCCTCCACGGTGTATGCATCCCAATCCGTAGGCGCAAACTTGGACAGTCCACACCCGGGTAAATCAATACCAAAGCATGAAGCAACATTAGACAGACTGGTTAGGAGGTGGTGGAATTGTGCGAGGGACCCGCCTAGCCCATGAACAACCACGATCAGTGGAACAGGAGTCGGTTTGGTCGGGAGTCGAGCTAGGTGTGGATGCGGGCTGTAAAAGGTGCGAATGGCGGGATAAGTGGCGAATGAGGTAGTGTAGGAGTTATATGTGGTGAATTTCCTGAGAATGCCCGGGTCCGTTTCGTAGGCTGCGCAAGTGTTAATGAAGGCCCCCGGTGAAGATGAGCTATTCACCTACCATCAGAGCTTTGCTGCTGACTGTCAGACGACCAATCTTCCGTCTTATAGTTGGGGTTGGTTCCATGTCGCAGCGATGCATTACTGTCGTAGTCTTCATCTTCATAATCCTCCTCCTCCGAGGAGCTCAGAGTCTTCGAGGATTTGGTCGACGTCTTGCGAGCGGCGGGACGTTGCGCACGAGAGCTTTTCTTCCCCGACCGCTTGCGTCTCACCAGCGACAACAACCCACATCCAGTCATAGCGATCACACAGGTAGTCAAGAACACAACCCGACCCCAATTCACATTTTCATTGCGGTAGAGGCCGCGGAAATAGTTGGCGATAGAGGCGAATGAAGCGTTTTGGGCGGTAGCGCGCACTGAGTGAAAGAATCGCAGAACAGTCGCGACACTTCGAGGTTCAGATTGAGACGTTAACGAGTCATATAGGGCGGAGATAGCGTCGGATCCCATGATTAAGTACCGGAGGGGCGTGCTGGGCGCTTTCAGAGCCCCCCGATAGTGATCTCGCCAAGAACCACGCGATGGCGCTCCTGATGCTCTTTGGATATAGAGCAAGTAGGCTAGAGACCAATGAGGATAGCTAGGTCGACAACGTTGAAATGAGTTGCGAGGATAAGAAAATGCACGGAGGGTTCAGCTTCAGCCACTCACAGCCTCGGGAGGAGCGGCGTGGGGGTGAGTCATCGTCATCCATTGGCCCCTCCAACCTGTGTATTGCAGCCACAAGTTTTGGAAGGAACTTGCTTGATTATGGCAATTACTATGGGAGAAGAAGTACCTTTTGAAAAATTGAACATTCGAGATGATTTGTACATTAGTGTTAGATCTTAGTATAATTTAGTCTTCTTTTTCTATGTATAACCACTTGCTCTCTCGTATTGCCCCCTACAATGTATTATGTACACTTTGGTTCCCAAGATGTTGGTAACTACTCCCTACTCCGTGTTGGACGCCATTTTATAGTACCTCCCGAGCCAGCATGCGTGGCTTCTTACATACCACTGGCCAATTTCAAGCGGGCCACGAAGATCATGTCGTGTTTATCCCTTTTCTAAATTTTCTAGAACACGTAGATCATAACATCATTTCAACAGCCTAGAAATATGCTATATTTACACTCAGGTGACATATCATAATGATTCATTAGAACAGATCCGTCATGGCTCCCTGTGATGCATCACTGACCAATCGTGCATACTTGGCCAACACACCGCGAGTGATTTGCGGTGAAGGAGGGGTCCACTGACGCCGTCTCTCCTGAAGCTCCTCATCCGAGACATCCATTGAAAGCGAGTTGGTCTCAGCGTCGATGGTGACGACATCTCCATCGCGGATGAGTGCAATTGGGCCCCCAACGGCGGCTTCGGGCACAATGTGGCCGACAATGAAACCGTGGCTGGCACCCGAATACCGGCCGTCAGTAATAAGCGCCACGTTGGTCAACTTTGCTCCCATCAGCGCGGCACTGGCCTTCAATTGTTCCGGCATTCCGGGCCCACCCTTGGGGCCCTCATAACGCACGATTAAGACAAGGTTTTCACCGCGCGGGATGCGGCCCTCATTCAGGGCGTCGTTGAGCCGGTGCTCCTTATCGAAAACACGGGCTTTGCCAACGAACCGGAGCCCTTCCTTGCCGGTAATCTTGGCGACGGCACCGCCTGGTGCAAGGTTACCACGTAAGATCTGCAGGTGACCGCTCGCCTTGATTGGGTTGTCCAATGGGCGAATCAGATCCTGGCCCTCGGTCAGAGAAGGGAATGAGGCAACGTTCTCGGCCAACGTCTTGCCCGTCACTGTGGGGATATCTCCATCAAGTAGACCGGCCGCGATCAACAGCTTCTGGACAGATGGGACACCTCCGATCTCATACAAGTCGGCCATATAATACTTTCCACTGGGTGAGAGGTTGGCAATAAAGGGGATCTTGTTGCTGACCCGCTGGATGTCATCCAGGGTCAAGTTAACACCAGCTGTCCGAGCCATGGCCAGGAAGTGAAGAACACCGTTAGTGCTGCCGCCCAGCGCCATAGTCATTACGAGAGCATTTTCAAAGGACCGCTTGGTTAGTAGGTCCCGTGGTCGAATATTCTTCTCCAAGCAAACCTTGATAGCATCCGCGGCACGAACACACTCGCGCATCTTGGATGGCGATTCAGCAGGCGTGGACGATGAGCCGGGTAGTGACAGACCCATTGACTCAATAGCAGTGGCCATAGTGTTGGCCGTGAACATACCACCGCAGGCGCCAGCGCCAGGGCAAGCATGCCGTTCTAAGTCATCCATGATCTCATCCTGAGACTTGGTTTGGTCACCACCATCGTCGGGTTGGCGCAGGGTACCATAGGCGTAGGCACCAGCAGCCTCGAAGCACGTTGAGACATTGATGGGTTTCCGCAGGTGCTCAGAATAGCCGATTCCAATAGTTCCACCGTAGATCATAATTGAGGGCCGGTTATGGCGCGCCATACCCATTACGACACCGGGCATGTTCTTGTCGCAGCCCGGGATAGCAATGCAGGCATCGTGATATTGGGCACAGGTTACAGTCTCAACACTATCGGCAATGATTTCTCGAGTCTGAAGAGAGAATCTCATTCCTAGCGGGGTGTTAGCTATCTCGTTTGCTAGAGATGAGAGTTGAGGATCAAACCAACCTTCACTGCCCATGGTAATTGCATCCGAAACACCAATCGTGTTGTACTGCCACCCAAGCATTCCTTGTTCCAGAACTGACTTCTTGACGGTCTTGGCCAAATCCATCAAATGCATGTTGCATGGGTTTCCTTCCCACCATACTGAGGCGATACCGACATGTGGGCTCTTCGCCATCGCTTCTTTATCTGGGACACCGGCGGCATAGAGCATAGCCTATAGCGGTCAGTAATAGATCCTGCAGTGTTCTTATAGCCAACCTACCCGTGCGCCGGGGAAATCATGGCCTTTGGTAATAGTGTGGGAGTAACGATTGAGTGCGGGGGAGCCATCCGGATGCTTCGCATCTGTGGGCAAAGAAGGAAAGTTGATGTATTTAGCCTCACTGAGAGTGCTAGGCACGGTTGACTTTGAGGGATCCATGATGATATATGATAGCTATATGATAACGAAACCAGAAAGAGATTGGAGATGCAATTGACCAGAATTATAGCCCAGACAACCTCGGGAGCTCGATTTTCGCACCGATGTCCGACACCCAGGACCCCACGTTCGTTGTCCAGTCAGATGCGGCCGATTTATGAGCAGATCGGAGTTGGGCCTAGTCTCCGGATCTAATGAGGTTGTATACATATGGCATTATGAGTTTGTATATCAATGGTTCAGGTTGATATATCTAGTTTATTTACAATGGAGGGATCGTCGCAACTCGCCACATCATCCATGGCACCGACGCGAAAGGCCAAAAGTTGGATGCCTGATTTTTAGGGTAGATGCCTGATTTAGATAGGCAGGCAAAATGAAGCTAACCCCATGTTCTATCTTCACCCAATACTAGATATCTTCTCTCTGTTCATGATCTAGCGTCAATAGTAAAGGCGGTTGAAGATAATATAGAAGGGAGGCCTAATTGAGGTATACCATGAGAATCAGGCATGTCACTTCCCCCTTCGTAGACGTCATACATATGCTATCAGCATAAAAGCAGCATTCTGCTCCTTTGACCGAACTCTCTTATTGCAATACTTCCTGAGCACAACATTAGCCGTATAATGGCCACCGACGTGAGAATCGCCCAGGCAATAGGGACGCTTGGCTCTGCAGTGGGAGCAGGTAAGTAGCACTGCCTACGCAACAGATGGCCAGACACTCATAGTGTACAAGGCGGCATTGCTTCATTATCCATAATAAGCATCCCCAATCTCATAATTCCAGCCCGTCGCCCACCCAGCGCGACCCTGCCATTCCATGATACCCCAGGAACCTCGCCCGGCCATTTGACACACCAGTGGCTCGATATATATACTCGTGGAAGCAAGATTTTCCCCGGTATATCCGCGGTATCTTCACTTGCAAACCTGTATGCGCTCTGGGCATTGCGGGACTCCGCTACCCCTGCGCCGGATATCTTTGGGTCCAGCTGGTCCACGTGCTATATGCTTGCTATCGGGTTTACGATGAGCATTACGCCTTTTACTCTTACAGTTATGAGAAAGACAAATACCAAGCTGAAGGCTCATGCAAAGCGCGATGATGCGGCTGACGCTGAGGGTACCGAGGGCATGGTAGTTAGTCCACAAGAGAAGGCGAAGCGGGCTAGGGAGGATGGCGAGGTGGTTGAACTTCTGCAGCATTGGTCGCAGTTGAATTTGATCAGAGCTGTGTTTCCACTCATTGGAGCTGGCATTGGGTTCTATACTGCTGTCTCTAGCTGGATGATTCCTTAAAGGGGAATGCCAGAAGTTGTGAAGCTGTGCCGTATTGAAATTCTCCGCTATTTGTTAAATGAATCCCTTGTATGATTATGTGAAAGGAAACTTCGGTCTTCGAGTATGGGTATCGTTAAATTTTATAAGGGCATATGCGCTGCGACTACCCAGGTAATTGTATATTTATGAACAAGTCGGAGAAGAGAAGGCCATTACATACCCCCAAGAGCACCCGGGGTGTGAGGCGTGTGCCTTAGGAGTACTGTCACATCGCAGCAGGGTTTGGGCCCTCATCCTCGTTCGTACCTCTTCTGCCATCATCTTCTGCCTCTTTCTCAATGGTGGACCATTGCTCTGAATGCTGCAGGGCTTCATCGGCACTGATCTCTTGCAATGGGCTAGACTTATTTGATGAGCCCCCTTGATGAAGATCTGTCCCACGGGTCTCGCCATTCAGTTCACCGTCAATGGCAAAGCCAACAATCTTCCCAGTTCCAGGCTGCGACCGCGCCTCTTCTAGCACATCGCCATTCCAAGGTTGGCACTTCTTGACAATTTCACCACACCGGAGGCAAGACCATCCCTGGCCTTCTTCCGCTTCCAGTTTCTGCACAATACAGACGAAACAATAGATACAGCCGCAAGGGACGGTCTCATATGGGTTTGTGATATCAGTTTGCGCCGATCCTACAATACCCCCTGACGCAGAGGCGGCTATGGTATCGCTTTCGGTCGTTGTGGTGGGGTTCTGATCGTAGTAGCAGATAGCACAGGTTCGCTCTGGGAGGAAGGCCAGCTCTCCTTGTTTTTCGGGGGTCTCGTCGTCATCGCCGCTTGACCGGACAGAATTGACCATCTTTTTCCAGACCCGGGATATCCATCGCCGCCAGCGGCCAATTCCAACAAGAGGAAGGAGGAAAAGAAGGAATTCGGTAAAAGCATGCCAAACTAGTTGACGGTTTAAATACTCAAAGGATACTTCCCGGCTAGCCTGCGCAGACGGTGGAGTAAGGCGGATTCGAAGGATGCGATCGACCAAGGTACGGTATCGGCCATTCACTAGGAATACCAGGAAAGAGACGAAGGCAGCAATCGAGTGCGATGTCGAGATCATGTCTGTTAGTCGCGACAGCATTCGGATGTCCGGTGATGGCTTTGTAGTATCTGTTAGTAAAGCATTGCCAATAGAGAGCAATGTGTCGGCACTAACCTCGTCATAGCCACCTTCTTGTCCGACCAACCAGCTCTCCCACTTGTCCCAAGCATATCGCCCTCCAACCGTCAATAAGCCATAAATACCCTTCTGCCATTTTGTCGGAGAAGAGAAAACGGGTCCTTTGCTTCGACTATCGGTGTATTTGAGGCCTTGTAGTGCCGCACCATACGATGCGTTATGATCCCATATTGATAGTTTAAAGAGCATGGCCCGTAACGCGAACAGAATCTCATGTGACCAATCTTCGCGCATTTGAGGCTATTGTCGGTGTCAGCTACTTTTTCTCACAACACCCCAGAGCCTCATTCAGACATACCCCGAAGTATTTGAGAGCATCCCCGACCTGGCCCTTCAGCAGCCCAAGCAACTCCTCATCCAACAATTCAGCGTCCACCTGGCCCACTCGAAATGCGGGGCGCGTGCCTTCCCGGCCCTTGATGGAATTCCATATCCGCCACCCCGAACCGGGTAATCGATTCAATGGATATGGCAGACGCTGGACGGTGGCCGGGCTGATCGGAGAGGCCCGCTGCTGTGCTGCATAGCGGGCGCGCGCTTCCGCCTCACGCTGGCGACGACGTTGAAGAACTCGTTCTTGTGCAGCGGCGAAGTTTGTTGAACTCATCGCGAAATCATGACGTGTTTATGGATGATAGGAGGGAGCTGGTTGGGGATTCGTGAGAGCACGGGGAAATGGGTCCCGGCGTAGCTCATCGACCGCGCTCGGTTCCCCAGACGGAAGAGCCGAGGTATACCACGTGACTTTTGCATTTCCAATGCTGTTTTGCCAATTGTGAGTAGTGAAGAAATGTATACATTCTATGTGATACAAGCAGGATTCTAACATGTACCTGCCGAGGTACAACGTTGTATTGAAAAGCTTTGTGGTGGGCTCAGAAGGTCCTCGGAGATACCCTGCCCAGTCACTGAATCTCATCAAGGCATCCATGACAAGAGCTTATCATGGACTCAAGTGGTCCGAGGTCGGTTAGTTGCTCATATAACTTGATACTTCACTGCCCAGCTAATATTGTTACACTGGTATCTGAGCAGTCAACATAAGCCATTTCAATTGATCCATGCAAGTCATTTGTACATGACTTTGTACGATTTCAACCACATTGCCCAATGAAATCCATGACAACTAATGTCGGAGGTGTCCTTGGCTTTGGGACTGAGGACTAATGATTGGGTTTCAAATGACAGCCCCAATTGAAAGCTTGAAGTCGGCGCAGGTGATGGACTCCCTGGCATGCATATAAATCAGAACCATCGCCCAATGTTGAATTAGTTTCCTGACTAAACGCGTGATTATGCTTGATTCATTTATTGTCAAATCTGTCACACTGTCCACTATGGCATCTACGATGAACGAATCTATCGAGACTCGGCTGTTCATCAACGGCGAGGTAACTATGCAGGCTGCTATTCGTATACAATGATGCTTCTTCATACTAACCTTCTAGTTTCGAAAATCGTCTAGTGGCAAAACATTCGAAGTGGTATATCCATAACCAAGGAGGTTGTTGCGCAAGGTGTGTCCCCTTCTCCGCAAAAGCCAACATACTGCTAACACCGACTCTGTTACCAAAGTCCAAGAAGCCGACATCCAAGATGTAGAGGACGCCGTTAATGCTGCCAATGCGGCTTTCCCCGCCTGGCGAGACTTGGGCACCGACAAGCGCGGCGCATACTTGCGCAAACTATCTCAGCTCATCTTGGAGTCAAACGACGAGCTGGCGAAGCTCGAAACGCTCTCCACTGGCCGACTGATCTCTCAGTTCTTTGACGCCAGTCTAGCAGCCGAGCTATTTGCATACTTCGCTGGTGGCGGTTGGACCGCGCAGGGGACAGCCAGCCTCAACACCCCGGACTACCTAAACCTGACCGTCAAGCAGCCATATGGCGTGGTAGCACTTATTATCCCGTGGAACTTCCCACTTGCCATGTTTGCGATTGAGAAGGCGAATAATTCGGAGTTTGGCCTGCACGCTGCTGTCTTTACTAAAGATCTTGATCGTGCCGTTCGGTTGGCGAAGGCTCTGGATGCGGGTACTGTTGGGGTTAATTGCACAAGCCCGACAAATGCCAAGGATACTGCATTTGGTGGGTTCAAAATGAGTGGGAGTGGCCGGGAGGGGCTTCTGTATAGTCTTGACAGTTTTCTTGAGACTAAGAGTATCTTGATCAAGACAGCACGTCTGTGGAAGATAGCTGGTTGAACCGAAGGCATGGTTGAGAATGGATATCCCATTTCGGGGCTATAGAAAATTGAGTACAATACAATCATGCAAAGTACCTAGCTCCACCAAGAAGATCCAATGTTTAACGGTATCCGACACCTAGATAGTCAGGAAAAGGCGATCAGCTACATAAAGGGGCCAGTCTCTAGGCAGTGGGAGTTATGGTCCTTCTAGTAGTCTTTAATGGGACATAAATATCATAATAACGAATTTGGATTCATAACTAAAGCTTAAGATATTAGCCTCCAGATGGAGATAGCTGATTGTGTTTTACGTCTCCTAGATTTGGAGAAAACATTCCCTCCCAGTCAATCGGGACCAGATGATCAAGGGTCATAGACCCACAACCACACCCGGTCAACTAGTAAGAATGGATAAGGAACAGCTCAATCAGAGGGAAAAGGCAGCGATGGCCAGCATGGCTCCGAGCATGACAGTAGAGATAGGAGCCGTGGCAGCAAATCCAGCGCCAGTGTGGGTAGGGCTCGCCGCTGTCGAGTTAGTCGTGGCGGTCGCGTTCGTGGTCTCGTTTGACCGCTGGAATGTGACCTTGTCGTTGTAGTGAGTCTTGGCTTCCCAGGGGAACGGCTTGGTGTCGTATGTCGAGTTCAGTTTTCCGTAGGTTTGCTTGACGGCATCCAGGATACCGTGACCAGCAGAACACTTCTCATTGCTGTCAGTGATGGGAATGGGCCACACGGGAGTGTAGGTGGAGGTGTTGCCAATGGTGTCGTCCCCAATTGACATAGGACCAGGGTAGGTCTGGTTAAGGGTGAGATAAGTCTTGTCGACCTCGTAGTTGACGTAACCGGTCTTGTTGGTGACAATCTCGAAGATGTTGGCACCGCAATCCCAGCGACCCAGAGAAGGAAGACCCCAGTTGGCGGAGACACTGGCAATGCTCGAATAGTGGGTGTAGAAGGTATTGTCCGTGGTACCCTTGAGCTCTTGAGGAATGGCGCCACCAACAAGAATGCTGAAGATACGGTTGTCGTTGGTGTAGGTCTTGTCCTCATCGAAGGTCAGGAGGAGGAGGGTGTTGTTCATGAAATACTCGTCAGTGAGCAGTTTGCTCACCCAAGAACGCTCCCACTTGGCAGCGAAAGTGATGTTGGTGTCATGGGCATCGTTGGTCATGTTAGGAGTGATGAAGGCCCACTGAGGAAGCTTCTTGTCACTGAGATCATTTTCAAAGTCGTCAAAGCTCTTGATAGCACGTGCACGAGTGTTGTTGGTCACAACAGAGTCGTAAAGCACCAGCGGGTTGTGCTTCCGAACGTAGTCATTGCTGTAAGTTTCCTGGTTGGAATAGTTGTAGCCCTGGAAACCAGCATAGGGAATGTGCTCCTGGTATTCAGCCCACGAGATGCTCTTGGTGTCAAGCAGATCAGCAATGGTAGAAACGTTGGCAGGAATCTGATTGAAGTCGTCATTGTCCATTCCAAACGTGTCACCACCAGCGGCAGCGCAGTAGTTGGGCTCGGAGGGATGGGTGACAGCATAGAAGTTGGTCCTAAAAAATATTAGAATGGGTCATCTCACTCATGGCTCAAAACATTGGAAACATACAAGAGAATACCCTCAGAAGCGAGCCACTGCATGTTGGCATCTGAGGCGGCATCGGAATAGTCCTATCAAGCTGTTAGCCATGGTGTCTTTGAGACTCCAGGAATTGATCTTTGTCGCGTACAATGTTCTCCAGCCAGACTTGATAGAAACGATCAAAAGCCAGGCCCTTGACATCGGAGACGGTAACCTCCGGCTTGGTGGTTTCGGCAGCCTGAATGTCGGCGAGAGCAGGCTCAGAGGTAGTAGCTGTCTGAGCAACTGTCAGAGTAGCCACTCCCAGCAAAACCGCGATGACAGCCTTCATTTTGATAGATCTCGCAGAAAATCAATAAGATTGATGTAGCTGATGAGATGAGACCGAGGCGGACCGAGGAGAATGAGGATGGTAGAGAAGAAAGAAGAAAAGATCGTCAAGAATGTTAGAAATGCCAGAATATGTATGGAAGGTCCACGGGGTCAGGGCCACTACACGTGCATCTACGTCGGAGATAAACTTTGAAGGAAGGTATACCGAACAGGTACACGTGGTTGTGTGTGCCTTTCAGCTTTCTTCCAAGTCTCACAGAGGTACTTTGTGAGCCGTATCTGATGTTGAGATGAGGTCTGGGTAGAGTAGACGTTGTATGATGCAGGCACATGGAGAAAGGGAGCCCTCTGATTGGCCGAAAAGCTCAGAAGTTCGAGGGCTCGAGTCAAGAGGGGCCAAGGCGAATGCTTAGCTAACTTAGCTATTCCATGGCAACGGGCCCCCGGAGTTCCGGGGTCTTTCCGTGCTTCTCCCCTGATAGCAGCTTTAGGTGGTTGAAGAGCCCACGGGTAGTCTATTAACTGTACATAAATGTAGCTGGGCATACATGTATGCACTTTGGCACATAGCGTAGACAGCAAGTATCCATGAATGTAATCTACTTCTGCTGATTTCTCGTAATTTCCGTTAGTGAGACAGATCCAAGCGAGGTGGGGAACTATAGGGCGCTAGCGTGCCCATGTGGTGCATTTCCCAGGGTTCTTGAGATAAGCAGATTTGGATGGTTAGTGAGTGGTGCCCAGGCAAATCACTGGGCTTGGCCTAGGGGCGTGCTCGGTCCCGTGATCAAAAGAACAGGTGAGCACGTGGGAGAGGAAACCCACATGAACCTTCGGAGTTGTGTACACACCGTGGACCATGGATATAGGGCTACTGATATCTATGGATATTACTCCGTGCTTAGGATATACCTTGGGGCTGCCTACAGTTTCTCACCTGAGTGGTCGGGTGGCACAAGTGAAGCCAGCACTTGGGTTTGAAAAGGGCCAGAAAATGATCGGAATGAACATTCTCTACGATTCTACAAATCTCAACAAAATCGCAAAGCGGGGCTGGCGATGTCGATATTGGTATCCATTGTCCCTGCCGGGAAGGTAACATTGGTGAGGTTCATTACTAGGCCTAACCTGGTCGGGTATAAGTCGGGGCTTGAACACATTAAATGAATGAAAGGATTTCATTATAGTACAGGTCATCAGGTATCATTTGTAGTATGCATTTTTACTGGGCAATTCAGCGACGGTTCTTGACCTAGACCTTGTCTTCCGGGCCGCCAGGGCCCTCGAACTGACCAGCCTTAGCGAGTCTGGAAAGAACGTTATGTTAACAATGGGAACGATTCATAGCGCATAGAGAAGCGGTGGGTGTATGGCATACCTGTTGCGGTCATCACGAACGCCGCCCTCATCCTCGGGAATCACACGGTGGTCGCTACCAGAGGCAGCTGAGCCAGGGCCGTACTTCACACTCGTGGGCTGGGGGAATCGCCGCTCGACCATCTCGTCAACACCTGACTCGGCAGCTTGAATTGTTATTAGATAAATGAGACCGACTAAGACCAATTTCTTCACATACTTGAGTCACTCTTCTTGCCGCTGCCCTGCTTGGCCTGGTATGAATTAAGGTCCTTCTCGGCGTTGAGAGATACATGCTTCAATTCTTCGGTGGTAGGCATGATGTTTTCAGGTTTTGTATGTGGTGATATATGTGTAGATAATTTGGTAGATGGTGAGATGAACATTGAACTGAATTGCGCTTTATATATATATCACTCTAGATCATCCACATCATGACTACTTCACTTCAGGTTAGGAATTGTAGTTGCATCATGCTACATCATAGGTATGTCACGAGGGGAGGAATCCAGGAACAGTGGTGAATCAGAGATTTTTACTCGAGAACAATCTTGGAAGTTGCCGGTAGCTTGATAATCCGACCAAACTGGTTTGAGGCTACACCTCATAGTCTCCACCGAGGGGAAACGGTCGGGAGCCCTAGCAGGTGTTCTGAATCAGGACAAACGCTAGGGTCCAGCCCTAGGGTTCAGCGGGACCGGAATATGGATTTCCCGGAGGCGGGGAGTTTACGCTGGAGCTCCGAAGAGACATGTCAGTCCGTTGATCAATTGACATATTCGGAACTCTCGCAGAGTTCATTTTCATGAACGTCCAGTGGTTCAGGGTACCTCAATGAACCTCTGATTTGGTGCATGCCTCAGTATAACTGCCTTTAGGCTTTACAAGTCTTCTTTCACGCGATCAGCACCGTTATTCGCCATGGCCTTCGCCGTCGAAGTACAGGGTGAGACCAACCCACTCACCCCCCAAAATGTGCTCAATGCACTAGTACATGCGGCAAGCTCGTCTCAGCAGCAAGTTCAGACGGGTACCGAACAGCTCCAATACTGGGAGAAACAGGGCATGTACTACTCTTTTCTACAGGTATTAGTCGACAGTCTTGTTTGTTGCTGCTTCACTCAATAACACCTTTGATAATATATAGAATGCCTTTCTTGACTACTCCCTACCAAATGAAATTCGCTATCTCGCCATCATCCAACTGAAGAACGGCATTGACAAATACTGGCGGAAGACAGCACCGAAGTATGTTATGGGAATATCGCCAAGATGAGGTCGTGCTAACATTTATGAAAGTGCAATTAAACCGGAAGAAAAGGAACGCATTAAGAGCCGGGCTCTTGAGGCAGGAATCGTTGAGCCCGCACCGCTACTAGCTCTTCATAACTCGCTGATGATTGCCAAAATCATGCGCTTTGAGTTTCCTCATGACTGGTAAGCCAATATGCAGCTGTGTGTTTGCTCATCCTAATTCCAACCAGGCCCGATGCCATTCTGTTCATTATTTCCTCGCTCCGATCATCCGTCGAACCTGGAGCAAACCCGCTCCAACTTCCCCGAACTCTCCTCATGTTGCTACAAATAATCAAGGAATTATCTACGGCACGAATTCAACGAACGCGACACAATCTTCAGTCTGTATCGCCTGAGATATTCCAGTTACTGGGGGGCATCTATGTTGATAAAGTCAACCAATGGGGGACGATACTAGACCAAGGTGGTGCCAGCGAAGGGGAGTTGCTGGAGACGCTCGAATTGAGTTTGGTATCTCTCAAGGTCTTAAGACGCCTGATCATTGCTGGCTTTGAACACCCGAGTCGCAGCCAAGAAGTACAGGGCTTCTGGGAGCTCACCCATTCGCACTTTAGTAAATTCCATTCTCTTGTGGATGGGTCTACCAATCTACCCGAGCCAATCCATCGCGCTATCGAGAAACATTTGCTGCAGATGTCGAAATTGCATGTTGAAATGGCAAAGACACACCCCGCATCTTTCGCGTTGCTGCCAGATAGTATCTCGCTTGTCAAGTCGTATTGGTCATTAGTCGTCAAACTCGGCGAGAAGTATGACAGCCTTGGTGCTGGGGGCGAAAATGAAGGGAAATCTTTACCTGAGAAGACCGGCCTCCGGGCTTTGCTCTTGATCCGTGCATGCGCAAAAATGGCATTCAACCCTGCGAATACGTTCAAATACCAGACACCGGAAGACAAGGAGGAGCGAAAACAATCTGTTCAACTCGTCAAAACGCAACTCTTCACCGAAGAATTTGTGATCAATGTCATGGAGCTACTAGTCACTCAGTTCTTCAGGTTCCGCAAGATCGATTTCCAAGAGTGGGAAGAAGAACCGGAGGACTGGGAGAAGCGAGAGGAAGAGAACGCCGACGCTTGGGAGTTCTCAATCCGTTCATGTTCGGAAAAACTTTTCCTTGATCTTGTGATTCACTTCAAGGATTTACTGATTCCACGTCTGTTGACCGTATTCTATACTTTCGCGAGTAAGTTATTGATGAGCTGTATTAAGTGTGCGTGGCTCTAACACTTATACTCCAGGCACCGATAACCACAATGTGCTGTTGAAAGACTCGCTGTATTCTGCCGTCGGCTTGGCTGCGGCCAGTCTCGAACATCACCTGGACTTCAACGCATTCTTGGAGCATACCATGGTTGTTGAGGTCCAGTCTCAGGAACCAGAGTACAAGCTTCTGAGGAGAAGAACCGCGCTCGTTCTCGGCCAATGGGTCCCGGTTAAGGCAGGCGACCTGAACATGAACGCAATTTACCAGATCTTCCAGCATTTGCTCGGCAAGCATGATCCTTTGAACGACCTGGTCGTCCGCATTACTGCCGGTCGACAACTCCGGAGTGTACTTGACTCATATGAGTTTTCACCCGAAGCATTTATGTCGTTTGCGCCTACCATCTTGGAGAGTCTCATGTCTCTCGTTCAAGAAGTCGAATCCTCGGATACTAAGATGGGGCTTTTGGAGACGGTCCGTATGGTGGTGGTCAAGATGGAAGATCATGTAAGTTGTTGCCTCATTTTCGTTGGCGACTGTGCAACTCACAATATTAGATCACTCCCTTCTCCGATCGAATCATCTCTTTACTCCCACCATTGTGGGAAAGCTCCGGTGATGAGCATTTGATGAAACAAGCTATCTTGACTTTGCTGTCGTCTTTGATCCAATCGCTAGGACAGGAGTCTGTGAGATATCACTCTCTCATTCTTCCACTGATCCAAAGCTCTGTAGAACCTGGCTCGGTAAGTCCCGTGTGAATCATGCTACCCAGCTTAACCTAATCATTCAAGGAAACTATTGTTTACCTTCTAGATGAAGCACTGGATCTCTGGCATGCCATAATTCAGGCTACGCCATCTCCTGCCTCGCCGGAGATCATATCACTCCTTCCGTCTTTGTTCCCCATTCTCGAAGCAGCAACCGATAGCACTCCGCAGGCCATTCATATCCTTGAATCTTATGTGTTCCTCGCGCCACAGGAGATCCTCAGTGACCGTTTCCGCTTCCAACTCCTGGTGATCCTTGAATCACTACTCAAATCCACAACCAAGCAACGTCTCGGTGTGATACCTCGCCTTGTTGATTTATTGCTTCGCGGCGCTGAGACTGTCGACGGCGGTAGCGAAGCAACCTACCGTGTCATTTCCCAATCCCTTCTGGAGAGCTCATTCCTTGCCTCCCTGCTAGAAGGCCTTTACTCTGCCCACGAAGCGAGTCAGACGTCTGGCCCAAATAGAAAATCCTCACCTGTGGTCGGTGTCGTCGAGAGTGATTACTACTCTGTGCTAGCGCGCCTTGCGCTGGCCAGCCCTACCATTCTAGCCTCATCGGTCGCCGCCGCGACCAACTCATCCGAAGAACAATCTCTGACCTGGATCATGACCGAATGGTTTTTGCACTACGATAACATTGGCAGTATCAACCAAAAGAAACTTCACGTACTTGCCCTCACCCAACTCTTGGCCCTACAAGGAGCGCCACTCGACCCGTCTTTACCCCCGCCACCCCCTGCCTACATCCTCTCTTTCCTGCAATCATATCTAAGTGTATGGACAGATCTTATTACCGAGTTAGCAGACGGAAGTACCGACCCAAATGCCGATTACTTGGTATGCTGGAATGCACCAGCCGGGTCTGCAACGGCGATGCCAGAAACCACACAAGAGGTCGAATCGCCTGAGATCATTCGTCGCCGTGACTGGCAGTCCGGGGATGCAATCCACCGCTTCATGATTCGGGACTTTGTGCGCCATCGTCTGCAAGAGGTTATTGCTGGCTGTGGTGGGGCGCAGCGGTTCCAAGACGAATGGCTAGTCAACGTTGACACTGACGTTGTTGCGGCGTTTGGAGCACTTGGACTGCTCTGAGGTAGGAAGAAGACCCCTTGCTCATTTTGATATCATTGGGACTTTGCATTGCCTCCGTTTCATTGTATATGCTTCTTACACCCTCATATTGTTATGTTTGCATGACCACCAGGTCCACCTATTCCATTTTTAGCATTCCCAGAATCCCAGCCACATATCCCAATCCATCAGATATCCTTTCGGAGCTTATTGTACTTGCTAAAAATAGATCTTTCATGAGACCTTAATTCTTATACATTGCGAATGAGAAATGAACCTTGGAATTGTTGTGATTCATTTTATTTCTCGCTAGGCAAGAGATCCCAAAAAAGAAAAAGAAGGAAAAAGAAGGCCTACTAAAACACAGCCTTCTCCAGGAAAGGGGAGGTACCATGTAAGGTACTTATCGAGGTCATTTTGAGATAAAGTTAGTCAAGGTTGCCCCGGTAGTCTCCACGTGTACCTTCCTAGGTTGGGATTTTACTAAATACTAGTAGGGAAGATGGCTATCCTCCAGCAAGAAGGCCTTAAGAGAGTAGACGAATATCCGTTGAATTATCAGTTTCACAACCTAACCAGCGAGCCTTAGAAATTAAGCACACCATAAAACAGCGAGGAATCAACTCGCTCATACGCAAGCCCAGCAGACAATTAAAAGAATACGAATCGGGTCTGGACAAAAGTTGGACAAAAGAAAACAAAAACACGGCAAAATCAGTAGCATGCTCCATGCGACATTGGAAAAACAGGAGGAGAATCAAGGCACATACCAGCTAGCGCTCAGCACTGGCCGGGGAATTCACGGCTAGTAACAGGGTTGGGGAAGACACCGCCAGCGATTTGCGCTTGCATGTCCCACTCGGGAGCACCTTCGGTCTTCCAGGTCCAGTAGAGCCAGCCAGTACCCTTCTCGTAAGCATCAAGTTGACCTTCGATGAAGCGACGAATG